TCGCGGGCCCGTAGCCTATCTGGCGTGACCACCGGTGGCCACTCTGGAATGGCCATGAGCTGTTGGTACGGATGTCTCTTGTAAAGCCAGGCCTGGGCCTGCCCCTCCTCTGCCTGTGGCCTGCCTGAACTTGCTGCTGAAGAAGGGGGCTGGACAGGAGGCTGGCAGTGGAGCAGCAAGGAGCCAGCCTGCCCAAAGGAAGGAGGAGGAGCGTTCACGTTTGAGCCTCTGCCTTCATCAGCCTCTCCTGCCGCTTCCCAGGCCCCTCCTCAGGCCCCTCCCACGGCTCAGCACCAGCGCTTCATAACCCTGTGCTCTTGCTGATGTCCTCTGGAAATGCCAAGGACCTGGCCCTCAAAGACCCAGTTCATGCGTTCCATTTCCTTTTCAAACATGTCCCCAGGACCAGCACACCCTTCCTTCCCGTTCGAGCGTGCCCACCCTTTGGCACCGTTGTGGCCTGCCGTCCCGCCCTGCATTCCCGCCTGGCCTTCCGTAGCCCGGCCACAGCACAGCATGGGCACTTCGGTCCCAGTGCTGCAAACACAGAACTGCAGCCTTAGGCGCACGCGCGCCAGTGCCAGGGAGCGGCGCTGTAGACCGCTGCCGTCTCAGCCGAGTTCAGAGGGCACCTGCAGGAGGAGGGACATTTGATCTGGCAGGGGTGGGTGATGGTGGGGCAGTTTTGAGCAGGAGTAAAGAGGTAAGGTAGGGGTGAAGCTTTCAGACTTTATCCTCCAGGTGGGGTGGGCATGGCATCGTGGCGAGGTGACTGGGGGATTACGAGGCAGATGGATTTGGAAGGGAGTGGGTAGAGGCAGGGAGCTGAGGGCCCAGGGAAGGATGGCAGGAACCTGGCTCAGAGTGGCAGGCAGGCTTCTCATGTGATGGCCATAGCCAGCCCTGGAGGGACACTTTGGGCAGGAAGAGAGGCAGTGGTACGAATGGCCTGGCCCTCATGCAGGCTGGGGCCAGCTGGGAGCCAGGGCATTCTGCAGCTATGGAAGCCCTGCAGGAGGCCGGAGCTGCGGCCCTCCTCTGCTCCAGTACATCCCTGAACACCAGACCATGCATCTGTTTAGGAAGTAGCCAGGGAACAGACAAGACTGTGATCCCAGGTTGGCGAAACCCCCTGAGGCCTTTCAAGAGCCCTGAGGAGGAGCCAGCTGATTCCAGTTTTCCCCAACTTCGTGTGGCCTTTCTGGAGCATGGCTGCATCAGGTCGGCTGCACTGGTCAGGGTGTGCCAGGTGTTGGCCCTTGCAGTGGGGTGGGCAGAGCCCACCGACCTCTGTCTGGGCTGCCAAGGTCAAGGCCGCTGGGTCTCCAAGGTGATTGTGAGCCCTTGAGGGCTTTGAGCACCGTTTATTTTTGCTCTTATTCTTGCCGTGTCAGTGAGACTGGCTTTAATGAAGGTCCTTCCCAAGGCAGGCGCCTCTGTAAGGCAGGCCTCTGGGCTTTGTGGCTGGTTTTGCCTTTGTTCAGCCCAGATTGGTGGTTGCTCTCTGCTCTGTGCCTTGTGATCTCGGACGTTGCCAGGCAACATGGCAGGGGAGGCCGGCCT